GGAGAGAAAAATACGTTGTTAATATTGTCAACAGATTCTATCTTTAACATTCACAAGAGAAGTTATTAGTCTGTTCAGTCCATCGTAGTCTATATGTTAGGCTTTAAAATAATTAAGTTAGCCAAAGAGTATATAAATACCATAAGGCGCCTGTTGACTTGTTAAAATACATGTTGAACAATTGAAGGCTCTACTAATAGATTGGCAATCGCATTCATTATTTTCTAAACCTTCCAGCCATAGTATTGATTATTTGTCATCTTTAGCGTAAACATGAATTCTGACGTCAGCTAAAGAGCGTTATCTATTTATCTTATTGCTCCCCAACAAACTACCTGCGAAAGAAAGAAGATTTTAGCTTGGTCTTAGGATAATTAATTCCTAACCAAAAATAAAACTACTGATCGAATTTGTTCGTAGGAGTAAAAATGCTTGACGTCGGTTAGGAAGAAAGCAAAAAAAAGGGGTTATGCTCACTGATTTTTCTTGCGCTCTCTGTCAAGGCTCTTTACTAAACGTCTTTGTTTCGGCTTGTCCAAATTCACCAGAAGACACACAAATGGTATACAGTAGACCCTAAGGAAACAGTTGTGCGATCTGGATTTTGCAGACGACTTGAAGATTCTGTCGCACACCCAAAAACAGATCCAAGCCAAAACGTCAGTATTAAACAGCCTATCAGTGTCTGTTGGATTGAGGATCCGCCCCGAAAAGTCAAAGGTCCTTAGGGCAGGTGCACAACGAAAGGGGCAGGTTACGTCACAATAGACGGAAATGCACTAGAAGACGTCAAATCCTTCTGCTATCTTGGGAATATAATTGACAGAAAGGGGGGAACAGGTGCTGAAATAAAGTCCCGCATTGGAAAAGCGCAGGCTACTTTCATATATTTGAATACGATTTCGAAGACCAGAGATATCTCATTTCGAATAAAACTGAGGATTTTCAATTCAAATGTGAAGTCAGTCCTGTTGTATGGATGTTAGACATGAAACGCATCTCATACTTGTATAAAGAGGATCCAGGTTTTCTTGAACAAGTGTCTAAGAAAGTTACTGAGGATCAGATGGACATACAGGGTCACCAAAGAGGAAGTTTTAAGGAAAACAAGAAAGATCCCAGTCAGAGATAAGGTATGAAAAAGGCGGTAGCTGTAGATTGGACATACACTCAAGACGTCAGGCAGCTGCATAACAAAGAAAGTATTGGATGGAAACCACATGGTAAAAGATTAAGGGGAAGACCGCGTGAAACCTGTAGAAGAATCACAGAAATGTATGTACAAAAAAGTGTAAAGAAATGGAATATCATCAAGAGGCTAGCTCAGGATATAGAAAGGTGGAAAGTGTCTGTCCGTAGCCTATACCATGGTGCAGGGTGAGAAAGTTCATGATGATCATCATCAAAATTCTGTCAAAAATGTAATGGATATACAACTCTAAAAAAAATGATGTGATGTGTGTCTTTTTGGTTACACAACCTTTGCCAGGATTTGCAGAACCTCGTTCTACTTATTGGAACTTTCCAATTATTTCTTAATTTCGTCATTTTAGAACAAACAAGCCACGTCTACACGTTTGACATTCACAGGGCGCTTGAGGCAGCTTTAAGAACATGCAGTACAGTGACAGTACAGTATTGTTTGCGCGTGTTAAAAAGAATTGTCACAACGCAGTTTAATCTGGGACACATTGGTTTTCGTACATGTTACGTTATTGGTAACATCTTAAAGCATATACATTTGTTAATCTTTCTTTGAAAAAAATACCCATTTATCTTAAATAGAAGTCGAGATACTTGCAATTGATGGAGCTCGGGGATCGCCAGATTTCAGAGGTAAAATTAGCAAGAAAACGGCTGCCAAAGTTCGGTGACTGCCATAACTTGAGAGTACTTGGAGACTAAAAAGCTAATTTGTGCCCCGTGTTTTAAAGTAAGATCCCCACAGAAATGTTTTTAATTCGAAATAAAAGGTGTTGAGCCAAAAAAAATTTTAAAAATCGATTTTAAAAAGCTACAAATAAGGGGGAAAAGCCGGTATTTATTATTTTGATCAGCACCTGATTTCACCACAATGCATTACATTTTCTCTTGGAAAACGCCTTTGCTTCTTTCTGTCCTTCTTTAGCCTTGCACTCTAACCGACTAGTCACATGGTCAGTCTTAGAAGTTGTCTGTCTTGTAATGATAATGCTAGTCTCGTTCTTTTCTACCTTTCAAGCCACAGACTTTTAATAAAGGAGTCAGTATTTTAGTACGCTATTTTTCCAACTCTTTTGAGTGTTATCTGTAAAGATTCTAGCTCCGTACCCCATGTTCTTAATTAAGCCTGTTTTGTTAAGTGTGTGATGGAATTAAAGGTCATTGGGGAGACGTAGGCTTCCAGAAAAATTTTCTGAACGAATGACTTTTATTCACTTTCATGTAATTGTGCAGAAAGTTCATAGGTATATAGGATGTTCGAGTATAAAAGGTGAGTTTGTTGATTTTGACTGAAAAATGGGGCCATGTGTCAGTGATCTTGAATTTTTTAAACCATTTTCTTTGTGCAGATGGATTTCGTAGAAAACATTAAAACTACAGCCTGAAATTTAGCACACAAGTGCAGACCTATGTGGACTGTGGATCAATAAAAGGATTTTGACCTATCTTTAAAAATAAAAAAGTGAGCCTAAAGTCAATGGACCCCCGAAAGTCAGTTGACGAAACTTTGGGTATACGTTTGAATAAAAAATATTGAATATTCCTATAAGTCAACAATATTTCCCAATTTCGTCATACATGTACTAATCCCCAGAACAGATTTTAAAGGACTTGAATGCCAAATTTGAAGCTTGTACCTAGATTAGTTTTCGAAAACTCCTTGCACCAAGGAGGTCACATTATGTGAAAAAGCAGATTTTGAAAACAACAAGGAAACAGGAATTTTTAGAGGGATTTTTAGTTCAATGTGCACTTTTAAAACGCCCTATTACGTCATTTAAGCTGCTTTTTCAAAAGTTTCTCATTGATACCCTATATAACAGATGTCAAAGGATGTTTTTCAGCAAAAAAAAGAAAAATCGATATTTTGAGAAAAACAATCGATATTCTCTGGGAACGCGTACTTGCGTCTTCCCTTAAGATGTACAACATTTATGAAACATAACGATCTTTCTTTTGAAGAATTACTATCAAATCAGATCTTTACTTAGCTATTGAGTTTGTGCCCCGTACTTAGTTCGTGATATATAGTTTATAGATGGAGAGCCTCTATCAGTGCTCATTTGTCCTGGAGTGTAAAACTGGTTTACCAAACAAACACAAACCTGTTCATACCCTGTAGGGGATTAGTGTCGTTAGTTTTTAATGAAAAGAAGAAAATGAACATTTATGTTTCCTTCGAAAACTGTTTCAAATGAACCCTATTCTTCAGATAGGAATTTCAGGAAAGACAGAAAGGACTGTATTAAACTATTGGAAAGGAGCACGTGCGTTAACGACAACAGCCCTATCTCCTACTGTAAACTGGTGATAATGATAGATAGATAGATAGATAGATAGATAGATAGATAGATAGATAGATAGATAGATAGATAGATAGATAGATAGATAGATATTACATTCACGCAGAAAAATTGAGGAAGCAGAGGAAACTGTTGAAATAGAAAGGATAGACAGATAGACTGATAAATAGACAGGCAGACATGCAGACAGACGAGCAGACAGACACAAAGATAGACAGAAGAAGAAGAAAACACCAGTTCAACATCATAAATACCTACAAGCCCATATCTGCTACTTCGGTGTCAACGCCATTTTGTGACGTCACAGGGATGATCTGCTTTGAAGTATTCAGTGTGTCGTGTGGCTCTACCTTCGCTGCCAGTAACTCGGAATCTGCCAGAGCAAAATCGTCTGAACAAACGCCATTTCGTTGTTCGAATTCAATATCTTCACCGTTAGAAACCACACTTTGTCTTTGTTTGAAATCAGAATCAATACCGTTTGTATCCACATTTTGAGAATCTGCAGCGGTTCGGTCCTTGGAGTGTACGTCCCGATGTTGTAAATCCGCTCGGCTTGAGGTTGAGTTTACTTTATATTCGTTCAAGTTCTTTACTGGTTCGGGGTATGGAAACAGCTGTGTCGTTTGCGGATTGCATATCGCTGACATCGGGCAAACTGGCGGACGGGTAGAAGAAGAGGATGAGGAAGGCTGCGGACCGTTGGCGTTGTTGCTGGTTGAGCCACTTTTGTTTCGATTGATCATATTGGTCGACGACTTCTGAAGTATGTCCTGTTTCTCTGATTCGGGACTAGATATATCCTTTCTTTCGGCCCCACAGCAAGTCGTTTCCTTTGACTGAGGACTGGTTGTTTTTGACATTATAGTCGTTCCTTGTGACTGTGGACTGACCATCGGTTGATGGTCTTTGATGGTTACGTGAAAGATGGCGTGTTCCTGGTCCCTTCCGTCATCCACTTCTTCCCTCGACCGGCTGATTAAGGTCATCTCGATTGTCTGGTTGAAGATTTCTCGCGCCACAGCGCACACCAGCCCTGGGGGCGGAGACGTAAATAAAGAGAACGAATTAAAAAATATAATGAAGGTGTAAACGAAAAAAGAGTTTGTAACAAATATTTCAGCCTGGTATATAACAACAATCTAAGTACTACATGGACGAAAAAAAATGTTTTTTCATATTAATAGATGCATGTATACGTAAATCAAATAATATACAGATGAAGGAAGCTCTCACTAGTAAAACTGAAGAAAAACGAGGCAGGGGTAGATCCAGAGCAATTTACATAGATAGCCTGATGAGATGGGCAACAGGGAAGGACCAGGATGATAATATACATTCTTTGAGAGCATTAGAGCAGAGACATGAATGGCCTACCGTGTCTTTTGATGATCTGGCACTTGATGAGGACGAATAAAGGAAAGAACAAGTGAACGGTTGCCATATTGAAAGGATTAAAGGGCTTGTAGATATAGACTGTGAAATAAGACATAGAGCAATTAATAATAACTACGGCGTCAATAGCCTAGTGATTAGTCTATAATACCCGTATTCGTGAGATTTCAGGTTGGGAAGTTCGAGCCTCAGCTCGGTCTGAGCTTGTGTCTTTGGGAAAGGCACTTTACACGAATTTCCTATTTGGCTCGGTCCTTTCGGAGAAGCACGTTTAACTCGGAGGTTTCGTCTCTGAATTAGCTATTAGTGCTGACAGGGGCGGTAAACCTATACAATCTCACTCTTTTTTTACCGAGAGCAACAATCATCACTTAGACAACAATGGTGAAAGTGAAAATAGTTAAGAGGGGATTGATTGAGTGAGGATGACTTGAGATCAAAATTCTTTTTCTTCTGATCACGTGATATCTTCAACCGCGTGTAGTATAGTGGCGGCACATCGTTAGAGAAAGAATATGGCCGGGTACCCTGAATCCAAACCAAATTATTGAAAATGAGACAAAAGACTGAGTTTTTATTACAGGCCTCGAGGGAAATAAAAATCAGGGAAAAGATATTTATCGTATTTTTTTTTCTCGTTGCGATGGTCTGTCTTGAAAACAATAACTCCATTATCTCTGCGTAGTTATCGGGCTCCGACCTCATATTGTCCCAGTTGTGCAGTTAAAAACTAGCATGTGGGTTTTGTCCAGACCAGTTTTATGCTAAAGTGTGTCTCTGTACCTTCTCATTTGAATTAGATCGAATCGTTCAACGCCTTCAAATTAGGTTTTCAAATGAACAGAAGCACAGATGCCTTCCCACGAGTTAACCACGGATACATAATAATTCTACTTTCTCTGCGTCAGCGAGACGAGTAATGTTTTGATGTTAATGTTTTGTTATTCTAACTTTGTTCAGACGATTCAATGGTTGATGGCGCAGAGGTGACCCCCCCACCCCCCCCCCCCCCTTCCCGCCTCAGTAGGTGTTTAGCGGGTGCTTTGTTGTGATTTGCTCCTTTGTTCCTATCAAACATTTACCGTCCTTTTCACACCTTCTTTTTGTGTTTCTTACTCTCCTGTAACACCTCTTATTTTCAGCGCTCATTAAACTTTATTGTGTTGCAAGTGCCGTAAGATACCGATTAAAACTAAAACTAACCTCTTCCTCCCCTTCCTCTTTTCCTGTTTCCATCCTCCACCCACTTAGCGTACCGGAATCCCAATGAATGATGTTGGACTTATTGTTTTGAAGCAAAACACGTCTAAAATTAGACCAGGGTTCACCAAACTACGGCTCGCAGGCGAGATAAAAAAAATATATAATTGCGAAACTGCGATTCCAGCCTATAGTTAATCATAATTCTATAGGCATTACATTTTTAAAAATTAACCGGTTTTGTAAGAATAACTTTCACTTAATTGCCTATGAGTTGAACTTTGAAATTTTGAAACTAAGATAAACACCATAATTTGTCTTTTTCATGCAGATTTGCTTTCTAAGTCGTGTCATCATATCGAAAAAATACTTCTCTCCAGAACGGAAAGCCCTTTTTGTTTAAGAGGTGGCAATGGAAAATTAGCGTATTTACAGCACAGTCCTACGTTGCAGCAGTCCATACGTAATAAATAATGTTAATTAAGATAGTCTCATGGTCTAAGGAAGATCGGTGTTTGTGGTGTAATAATGTTTCGCAGGTGATCCGAGTTCGATTCCCACAAGAATTAAGTATTTCATTTTATCAAGTACAGTCGAACTTGCTCTAATGGCTACCTATCCTAGATAAACACCAGTACATATAATCATTTCCACTTTCCCACTTGGGTTGTTTTTTTTCTATGATAAATATCACTATTCAAGACGCCCACCTGTCTAAGACAAGCACTTTTCTCCTCGACAACAGGTGGCCATCTTGAGCAATTTCGACTGTATTTCCATTATTATACTATGGTATATTCCATGCAGCTCCGCTAATAAGGACAATGGTAATTATGAGGTGTGCTCTCAAATGAGTCGCTTCTTAGATTTTAGAGCTATGGACGTACATTGTAGATACCTCGATAGATAGATAGATAGATAGATACCTCGGGGGGG